CTCAGAGTTGTTTTGATTTGCATTTCTCTAATCAATAGTGATTTAGAGCATTTTTTCATATGACTATAGATGGCTTTAATTTCTTCATCTGAGAACTGCCTGTTCATATCCTTTGACCATTTATCAATTGGGGAATGACAGGACTTGTTTTCTATAGCTAATTTTTGTCCTTCCTTTTCCAAGCTATTGACTCTCTTACATACCTCTCATTTCTTTTCCCATTTTTTCTTCTACCTCTCTCATTTGACTTTTAAAATTCTTCTTGAGCTCTTCCAAGAAGGCTTTTTGGGTTTCAGACCAATTCATATTCCCTTTTGAGCTTCCAGATGTGGGTTTGTTGACAATGTTATCCTCTTCAGAATTTCCGCCTTGATCTTCACTTTTCCCATAATAAGAATCTATTGTACGTTTCTTTTTGCTCATGGTGTTTGCTTATTTCCTGGCCTTTAAAGAGATTAATATCTCCTGCTGGGGAGCAGAGGGCACTGACCCAAGCTTCTTGGGTTGGAAGCCTACAGCCTGGTCACTGGCTTTGTGTGCTGGGGCCTCCAATGCTGGCAGTTGGAGGCTGTAGGGTTCTGGCAGCTTACTTGGTACTGGGCTGGAATCAGCAACACTGGAACGCTAGGGGTAGGATTGGGTAGTGTGACTCCTGGAGATTTCCTGCTCATGGGGCCTTTCCTTCCTTTCACTTTCTTTAGCTCCTTTCAGATGGATGTTGCAGGATGTTTACCCACCTGGGGCCCCTTGGCTGCTTCTCTTAGTTTTGCTGAGGCACCTGGTGGTTTTCCAAGCTGGTTTCCACCCACCCTCACTGAGACACTTGGGGGTCCAGGTGTTGGTGTTTGCCTGCTCCACCACGTAGGTTTCAAGATCTCCTCCTGGTATGCTGAGGTGGGGCTTTCTGCTAGCTTGCTGGGATGCCTCCCATTCTGTACTGCTTTCCTTTCCCCAGGGCAAGAGGGGCCTTTCCCGTTAATCCCTCAAGATACTTGGATTACTGGACTGCTGTACCCCATATTTCTTCTGGTTCAGCTGTTCCAGGACTTTTCCTGGGGCAATATTTTCTGGGCTTTCAGAGGTTAATAAGGGAGGGTAAGAAAGGCTCACCTCTTACTCCACCATCTTGACTCCCAAACTCCTCTAGGTTTTCTTAACATTGTTCTCTCCGGGTTCTCCTCCTGCCTGTGTTACCATTCCTTCACCAGATCTTCCTTCAGATGATCCATGACATCAGGAAGGTGATGCCATGACTTGCAGGTGAATTGGATTTAAGTGAGGGAGAGCTGTGCAAAGTCACCAACTTCACGTTCTTCTCCACAGCCATCTGGGTCCAGTGGCCAGATATAGATAGGACAACCAGAGATGGCTTGAGCAAGACCTGGATAAAGATCCAGCAAAGAAGAATGAGGAGTCAGATAGGTAGGAGGAGAATCAGGACAGGAGAAAGTGGTGTCCTAAAAACATAGAGAGAAGTAGAGTTTCAGAAGAAAATGTTGATCAGCAGTATCAAAGGCTGCAGAGGTCAAGAAGAATGAGGACTGAGAAAAGGTCATTGGATTTGGCAACTAATAGATTGTTAGTATCTTTAGACAGAGTAGTTTTGGTTGAATAATGATGAGGTCAGAAGCCAAACTGTGGAGAATTAGGAAGAAAGTGAGAGGAGAGGAAATGGAGGAACCTATTGTAAATAGTCTTCTCAAGGAAGTTAGCCACAAAAGGCAGGAGAGATATGAGATAATACATTGTTAGTGGGGATGGTTGGATGGATCAAGTGAGATTTTTTTTTTTTTTGAGGATGAGAGAGACATGGACATGTTTGAGGCAGTAGGGAAGGAGCCAGTAAACAGAAAGAGATTGAAAATAAGTGATAGACTGGGGATGAAAGAAGGGGCAATCTGTTGGAGGAGACAGATGGACTAGGATCACTTGCGAGTGTGTGTAGAGGGATTGCCTTGGTAAGGAGAAGGGTCATCTCTTCCTGTGGTTGTTGTTTGTCCATCATTCTCAAGGAGGACCAATGACATCAATGTCTTGACTTGCAAGTGAACTGGATTTAAGTGACACAGAGATGTGCAAAGTCATCAGCCCCACTCTGTCCTCCAGAGTCATTGGAGACCAGTGGTAAGACATAGGCCAGGAAGACTGGCAATGGCTCAGGATTCAGTGGGAGATCTTGGCCTTTTTAAGCTGAGATCTTTCCCAGGTCTCAATTTGCCTGAAGCAACACCCATTCAGTAGTTAAAGACTAGGTAAGAATTGAGATAAAAGAGATAGCCTATTTGCCTTCACAAAAGAATCAATGAGGGAAGACCCTCAGAGTTTCTAGTCAGAACAAAAAAAAAATTGCTATTTACAGTCACTCTGAGTCATCAAAATGCAAACAATGAGCAAGTGAAGCTTGGGCTGGGGCCTATTGTGGGCCAAGCAGTGAGAGCCCACAGTGAGTCATTTGGGTTTGAAGGCATAATCAAGTAGCTCCATTTGAATCCCAATGGGCTTTATCAAAGCCTGGTTTTTCAGAGCTATATTTCAAGAAGTCATAAATGAAAACTACATGAGACAAAAGAATTAATTGTACCAGTTTTTTGTTTGTTTGTTTGTTTTTTTACAAAACCTCTTCATGTGAGGCCGAGATGGAGAAGATAGTGGCAGAAGGCATCTAGGACCTAGATCTTGGACCCCACATAGAGTAGAGACCCCACAGTTTAAGAAAGGCTGATCTAGGTGATATGAGATGAAGAGTGGAGAATTAACAATCAGTATCATCAGGTAAACAGAGAGATGTAGTATAGTCGAGTATGAGCATACTACAGAGGGGAAAGAGGGGAGGTGACAGCATTGATTAAGCATCATGCTAAGTGCTTTATACATATCTGATTTGATCTACAATACATACAAATAAGAATCCGAATATAGAATGACATCAAAGTGTACAATTAGAAAAGAAAATAAGAATTTAATAAATATGAAAATAAGTATTTAACAAAATGCCTGTTCAACTGATCAGGTGGTTTTTAGTGGGGATAATGATGGATAGCCCCTGTGTTCTACTGGAATTCTCATGTCAGGAGAAAACCAGGAAAGCCCCAGCACATGTGGTGGACCCCTGTGTTAAGGACACGGAGAAGAATGGCACAGGACAGGCAGGCACCAATGGGTTACAATCCACATCCTTGGAAGGAATGTCCATGTCACTGAGATCACAAATCCATTTGATTACTGGGTGCATTTGAATAAATTTCAGGTGGGTATGTCAGGATTCAATTCTCCCATCCCACCCCACTGGACCAAGACCGTGTGAGCCCAGAGACTTGTGGATCCTAGCATGATTGCCCTCCTTTGTATCTGTAGGGACTATCCATCGTAAGTTTAATAGATACTTATTGTTTGATTGAGCTGACAGAAAATTGTTACTTGCCATTCCCTTTGTCATCCTAGTAATGTCAGAATTTCCGTAATGTCTTTACATTCCTACTCTTCAGATATTTACTCTTGATTAGGTTAAGCTGAACCACAACCTAAGTCCCCCACCCATCCAGAGATTTTACCTCGTAAAAGAACCTACTTAAGCTGGATCTCAGCTTCCAATGACCTTGCCCCCTTCCATTGGGATTCATAGGATGAAAGGCAAAACAGCTAATGAAGGGGTTTTCCTGGCCCGGATTGCCACTGGGGTCTCATCAGGCCTTGCTACTTCATACTACCTCTTCTCCCTCTCCTCCTAAAAGTATAAAGAACCTTTCATGGATCCCTGGGTTGGGAAAATCCATTGTACTCTGCACTCATGGGACATCCCCCAGGGTGTTATCTCAATTAAAGAGACTATCTCTCTACTCATGGCTTTATTCAGCCCAGTACAGAGCTCTCCAGCTTATTAATGCCCTACCCAAACATGGAGCCCTAAAACATTACCTGTCCCAGGTGACATTAGGAGTTTTGTAAGACAATCCTTAGCCCTTGTGGGTCTCTGATCTCAATCAACTAGTAAGTGTTTACTGTGGACCTACTATGTGCCAGGCATCACACTAAGCCACTTCTCCTTCCTCAGAGGACATGATTTACAAAAGGTTTTGTTTTTTCTCCCCTTGCAGGACTTCAGATTCAATTCACTTCAATCCAATCCAAAAAGCATTTATTAAGTGTCTACTGTGTGACAGACTGCGCTGAGCGTTGTAGATAGGCAAACTAAATAAGTGCATGCCCTCCAGGAGTTTCCAGTCTAACTGGGAAGGACTCTCAGTACGCCCCTCAGCAAGTAAAGATTCAGTGCATACAGAATACTATGAAGCCGGGTCAAGGGCGGGCGAATGCAAACCACCGGGAGTCGGCTTAGGCACCAACGCTTGCAGGTGGGGCCACGGCCACGGGTGGGAAAAGCGACACCGCCGGCTTCCTGTCCGGCTTCCGTACAGAGGCTAAGAGGGATGGGGGGAGGAGAGAAGACAGACACGCCCCCAGCCTCGTGGCTCGGAAGACTCGAGAAAATACGAGGCGTGCTGCTTTCATGTATTCATTTATTTAAGTGGAAAGGCAGAGGTGGGCAGCAGGAGGACTCAGTTGCGAGGCGTTCCCTCAACCGCGGGCTTCCTAACTGCTGACGTTCCCCACACGAAAGCAGTCCTGGCCAATCTCTCCCCACATTACAAGTCCAGAACGGTCACGGCCTTCCCCTACGGGTCGGCGGACGGGCCCTTCAGCTAAGAGCGAAGTCGCTAGCAAGTACCGTCACGTGCTACTAACAGGAAAAAAAACTTTCCTCATTCCAGTCGAAGAGAAGGGGGAAAAGAAAAGGGGGTGGAGCTCCCGAAGTCCGCCCTTCCCATTGGTCGGGAGCTTCTTCTCCTCTACTGGCTCCCTCCGAGCTGACCCGGAAACGTCGACGCAAAGGGAGCGTGCCAGCAGGGCAGGCCCGGAAGCGGGGGGGGCGGGGCGGTCCTTCAGCGCGCGCGCCCCAGAGCTTGGGTTTCCTTTCCCCAGTCCCGCCTTCCGTCGGCGTCGGCGTCGACTGTGGCGGCGCGGTGCACTGTGGGATAGGGAGCGATCGCCGTGCGAGGCAGCAAGATGGACGCGGGATTCTTCCGCGTAAGTCGGCGGCGCCGGGGACTGGGCCAGGCCGGGTCGGGCAGGGAGGGCTGGCGGGAGCCTGACCGGGATGGTCTCAGGTCAGGGTCCAGGGGGCGGGCGAGGCGAGGCGAGGCGGCAGGAGCCGAACGGAGCAAAGGCGGGCCTGCGGTACCCCTCCAGCCGCGCCAGGGGCCCGGGCCGCCCCTGCGCACTGCCCCGCTCGCCTTTCCCGGCTCGGCCCCGGCGCGGCCCGGACGGCGGGGGGTGGGGGGAAGATGGCGGCGGGGGCGCGCGCCCTGCTCCTGCCTCCTTTGCCGGCCGGGTGCGGGCCCCGGGGCGGCAGCGTGCATGGGGGCCGGGGGCTCTCTGCGAGTGCCCCTGCGGAAAGGAGCAGCTCCGGGGGCCCCGGTCAGGGCGAGGAACACGGGCGACGCTGCCTCCCGCGGGGGCCGGCGGCCCTAGGCTGCTCGGAGGGGACGGGCCACGCCGGAGGTGTCGCCGGCGGCAGCTTCCGCCTTCCGCGCCCGCCCGAGCTGCGCGTCCCGGGCCTTCCTCTTTGGTGGAGGGACCGAGGGGGCTCTAGGGCCGCTCTGTTAGCGGGGCTCCGGGCGCAGTAAGCGGCACGGAGCCCGCGGTCGGCTCGGCCGAGCGGAGGGAGGGAGGGGGAGGACCCGGGCGGCGGGCAAACTTTGGAGGCGGCAAAGAGGACTTGTAAGCAAGTTTACCGTAGTGCGGGTCCGCCGAGAGAGTCGGGGACGGGCACGGAGAGCGGCCGGCGGGACTAGTTGGGAAAAGAACAACTCGGCAGAGCCACTTGGTTTTCCCGGAGAGGCCCCCGGTGCAGATAGTCTTATCGCCGCTTTACAGGCGGGGGGAACGAGGCTCCGCGAGCCTGTAACTTGTCCAAGGTCACACAGCAGGTGGCGGTGCCTGGGCTTGAACCCAAGGCTTTGGGACTTCAAGTGCATCAGCATTCTGTCCAGGCGGCTGGTGCTCCCGAGTGCCGAGCCTGGAGTCAGGAAAGCCAGAGGTCACATTTGGCCTCGGACCCTTTCAAGCTGTGTGACCTGGGCAAGGCACTTCACCTGTCTGCCTCAATTTCCTCAGCTGAAAAATGGGGATGATAATAATAACACCTACCACAGGTTGTTGTGAGGATCAAATGAAATAATACTCGTAAAAAAGGGTATAAAAGTACCTTAAATGCTTATTCTCTTCTTTTCCCACTATACTTAACTGCATTTCAAATCTTTGGTCCTCAGAAGCATATAGTACCTTACAATTTTGAGTGCTTCTTAAAGAAACTAACTAGTTGAGAAGTCGAGGTTGAGCCTACACCTTGTCCCAGTTTAAACAGTGAGAACTTCAGAGCTCATATAAGTTTCTGGAAGGCTTTTTCTAACACTTTGCAGGATGTTTAAGTGGACTTTTTCCTTTTAGAATTGACTTAGATGACATACAAAGTAAATTGCATTAAACATTAATCCAGGGTGCTAGATTTGGACAATTTGCTACTTCATTAGTGCACCTATGTATTTTAAAGTAAGTTGGTGAATAAATTGCAGTGATTGAGAAATCAATGACTTTTGTATTTTAGCCCTCTTATGGGAAAGACAACAAACTACTTTATAGAAAACATTCAATAGTCAGTGGTACCATGCTAATAGTTTGGAGTAAGCAGAAAAACAAATGAACCTTTAGTTTTGATTTTATAAAGGGTAGTCCAGCGGAAAAAAGGCAAAATGTTTAATGCTAAAGTTAAAAATGCTGTTTGTTTCAGGTATTGGTGAGAACATGGAAAAGGTGGTGTAGTAATCTATTACTTATACTATTCCCTCAATTCCAAAAGCTAGCTCTGCATGTGAACCCTCAACTATTAAATAATTTAAGGCATTTGAAGCACTTTGCCAACAGCTTACCTTTTGGCAAATACTACATGTATCAAGTAGTTAACTTAACAGGTATCTGAATATTTTTACTAAAGTACCGTGTGTATTTTTTCTTTGTGTTTTGTATAGCAAAAGTTTTCTGAATCACTATCTAGAGCTACATGTTAGGACTGTTGCTGACTTGAATTGGATTTTTTTAGTTTTGCTTTAGGTTTGCTACTAATAAAAAGTACAGTTTATGTAGAAAATGAAATCCATATAGCTGTTAGATTCTCCATGAAGGTCAGGTGTCTGATCTGTGAACTTCACATTATAACTTGTTAGTGTCCGTAATCATCGTGGACTAAATTTGAATGATGCAAACTGTGATAGAACTTGATGCACTCCTGAAAAGGCAGTTTTTGTGACATCTGCCTCAGATAAGGGATACATTTGTTTCATTTTTCCAAGTGATTAGCTGAAAATGAAGATATTAATTATGCCTGTGTACTTTTCAGTTCCGTATTTGGGATTGTAGAATCAGATCCTAGTTATACGATTTAAAAAAAATAAATCTTTTCCTCAATAAGTAAAAGACTCAAAACAATTAACAGAATACTTTCTAGTTCTGGGCTTTTAAAATTATTCTTTGTAATTCTCATTGGAATGTTCTGTGTGTTTTATAGTTTGCCAATGCTGTGCCATAATCGTTTGGCAAGCATGGTAGTAGTCTTCAGAAGAGGGTGAAACCATGCAGGGGGTACATTGTGCACCTGTAAATAAGTCTGTGGTTCTGTTTATGTACTGACCCTTTGAGTAAAAATGCCAAGTTGAGCGTTGATTGTTAGGGGTGGAAATGCCATTTTTGTCTTCTAGTTAAGATGTGTTCTTTCTTCACAGGGAACAAGTGCAGAACAGGACAATCGTTTCAGCAATAAGCAGAAGAAGCTACTAAAGCAGTTGAAGTTTGCAGAATGTCTAGAAAAAAAGGTAGGCATGGTGATTAATGCCTTGACCAGTAGTTTTGGGAAGGCAGTATAAAATGAATACTGAGGAAAGAAACATTTGCTGATTTGTCCTTGATGCAAACTATAGTAATAGCTTAAATTTACGTTATACCTTAAAATGAACACGAGACCTCTATTATTTGTACAATTTGTCTCATCATTTTATGGGTGAGGAAAATCAGCCCATGGCTATTAAATTTTGGTTCCAACACTAATAGGAACATAGAATTCAGGGTGGGAAGAACCTTAGATGTTATCTAGCCTTGAAGTTTTTAACCATTTGTGTCATGGACACCTTTGGCAGTCTGGTAAAGCCTGTGGACCTCTTCTCAGAATCATGTTTTTAATTCATTGAAGGAAATGCTAAATTTTAATTAGAGTTTAGTGAAAATAATAGATTTCCTCCCCAAGTTCACAGACACTCTTCACTACACCCAGAATCTTTCCATAGACTTACAAATTAAGAATCTCTGATTTGGTCTAATCCTCACTTTGTAGATAAGAAAATTGAGGATGATAGAGGTAAGTAATTTACTTAAGGTCACACACATACTGTCTGTAAGTAGCATAGCTAGGATTCAGATCAATATAATGTATAGTTCTTAATACTAAATCACCTTAGTTCTCACAAATACAGCATCGCATCTCTCTTCCCCATCCCCTGGCATTCCCCCCCCCCCAAGAAGCAAAAGATCATGTCAAAGCAGGCCTTCATCTTTGTGTATGAAGAGTCTTTGCGAATGGTCACCTTAATACTTGTTGGCTTTCTTCAACAGGTAGACATGGGCAAAGTAAATTTGGAGGTGATTAAGCCTTGGATTACAAAACGAGTAACAGAAATTCTTGGATTTGAGGATGATGTAGTAATTGAATTCATATTCAACCAGCTGGAAGTGAAGGTAATGATAATAGAAGTGGCTGTTGTTCTGAATGTGTATAATTTTGTGAAATCTATGGAAACTGTGAATTTCTCTATGGAATACAGATGATACAATTAGGGTTTTGTTACAATGTTTGTTCTGAAAAGAAATTCACTTTGTAAACAGCTGTTAAGGCTGGAAGTTTAGTGAAGGTGCATAGTTTTGAAAAATACACAGGTGAAAAAAAATCAAACTTACTGTTTGTAATTTTGCTGTTACATGTTAAGTTACTTTGACAGCAATTTTCTAATGATGATGTGATTTATGATTTAAAAGGCCTGAACCAAAATGGAAGTTATTCCTTGCGTCTGAAGTATAGCACCATCACCTTATTAGGTCACAGCAGAGTGAGTGTCCCAATGTCGCTCTGACCCAACTCCCTTGATGATGCAGTGTGTGCTGGAGGTGAGTTGTGTAAAGTGGCCGAACAACAAAAACAAAGCGCAGAGGAAAGAGCAATTGGGTAAAGCTTTACACTGCTCTTTGAGGTTATTCTAATGTAGACAGAGTTTGATGTGAAGCATGAGGGGCAATTCTGCATTGATTGGATGCTGTTTTTAATTGAGAAAAATCGAGCCATATATATGGCTCTCATGTATAGCTGCATGTCAGCTAGGCCTTTATAGATTAAATCCAGGTTTATGTTTTCGTTGATGTTTCCATAAAGTTTAGCTTCAGACTGAAATAAATTGGCAGCATTGCTAAACCTTCAACAGTGCAATTGTTCCTTCATGTATATCCAAGCTAATCTGAGATGGTGATTTTTTTTTTTAATAGTTAAGATAGTTTGCCACTAATGCCACTGCAACCCAAGGGACAGTAAGATGTACCATATGTTCTATTGGCAAACATATTCTTATGTGAATGTACTTTAAAATAATTCTTTTTCCAAAGAGTTCACCCTTGTGCTTTGACAGAACAGTTGGCATTCAACTGATGAGGTATTTGTTTTTAAAATAATTCAGAAGTTATGTTTTGTTATAAATATTTAATTTGTAAAAGTACTTCCTTTTAGAAGTTTATACACTTTAGGGAAAAGGGAAAAAACCCAAAACTTGGGAGTACATTGTATTAAAAAAAAAGTAGTTGATTAGAAGTAGATTTAATTTGACAAAAATGCTTTGCTGATTTTTATACTAGTGCATTAAAGCCTAAAATACCTGGGGTAATTCCCTTTATACTGAGCATGAGATTAACGTTTAGAACTTTAAAAAAAAAGCAATCTTTTCCTTTTTTTGTGGTTGTGTACTCATTATTGCTTGTTCGTCTTTTGCAATTTAGATAAATGATATAACATTAAACTCAAGGTGGTTGAGTTGCAGTAGGGAGTCGGAAGCAAGCCAAGGGAACATCTTTCTCTACAGGGGACTTGGCGATTCCAAACCCCCCCAAGGTTCCAAGAAGAAACTGAAGACACCTGGGATCTGTACTTGCTTTGTGCTATTGAGCTGTGCTTGTTATACGGACCTTGTTGCTTGACCCAACACATTGAGCATTTGAGAGCCCTCTTGACCTCTTAGCCCTTTGTGGACAGTACAGAATGGGATCAAGATGTTGTTACAATAGATCTTTCTTGTATAGTAGGAGTCAGACTTTCAGTCTAGTCTTGGAAAGACAGTAAGAAAATGCATGCATAAATATTTGTTAACTTTTTGTAAGAGAACATAAGGTACTTTTCAGAAAGCCACATCAGTTAGAAAAGTGTACTATTTCTGCACATTTTCCAGATTACATTACATTAAAGCAAATTTTCCGAGCAGAGGGAACCAAGGAAATATTTTCTCTAGGAATTATGAAAGAATTTGTAGCAGTTGGTTGTTGATGGTGGTTGTGTTAATAAATTCAAGGCCCAAGAACAGCTACACAGTCCCAAAAAAATCCACAAAGGATTAACAGGCTGCTCTGAAGTTTTTGGTAAAGAGAGCAAGAGAAATTGGTAATGTGTGCTAGAGTTTATAATGCTGGAAAATCAGTAGGGAAATTTTTTTAAAAATAGTTTTGAGTGTATATGTATCTTAGCCCCTATGGTAGATTTGTTTTTAAACTAATTTTAGTGAGTGTTAGGGTTTTTTCCAAGTAACCTGTTTTTCTTCCTGTCGTATCTCTTTACAGAATCCAGATTCCAAAATGATGCAGATTAACCTGACTGGGTTCTTGAATGGGAAAAATGCAAGAGAATTTATGGGAGAGCTGTGGCCCCTGTTGTTGAGTGCACAGGAAAACATTGCTGGGATCCCCTCTGCTTTCTTGGAACTGAAGAAGGAGGAAATAAAACAAAGACAGGTAACCAGTCTAGATTTTTATAGCATTCCTGGCTGATCCTGTTGAGATAGTAGACTCTTTGTGTCTGACCTGTGTTTGAACATTCACTTTCAGTCAGTAATTTCTAACCTGTTTAATTTTGTATGACCATCATATGGTAGTTATAGTAGCAGTATCCCTTGATTGAGAAACTACATAATGAAAAGGCTACTATGAAATCAGTCACGCTGTTAAGTGGATTATTATTTTATAGTATCTACATACACTTAAAAATATTGCTTTATTTTTGTGTGAGAACAATTCAGTCTACAGAAGGTGTATTTGTTACTGTGTCATTTCAGGAATGTAGTCCTTGTAATAACTCCGACCCACACCTGGCTTCTTTACTTTTCCTAGTGCATGATGTGAACATAGTTAAGTCTTCTTAGATTCCAGTAATTTTGTAATCAGTGATAGAGTATACAGTTCAGGTACACTTTAGCTTTATTTTAGTAAAGCATTAATTGACAGCATTTCATGGTGTTCTTGAGGAGGTGATTGTAGGAATGGTTAATGGTATAGTTAAATGGATTCAGACCTAGTTGGCTGACCAGGCCCAAAGAGTCATTAACCGGTCAACACAAGCTCAGGGCATTCTTTAGTGGCATACCCTGAGGATCTTTGTGGTTTAATATGGTGGTTGGAGCAGGCCAGCTTCTAGTGATCTGTCAGTGTCTTGGTTAAAGCCATAGGTGATATGCTCATGAAAATTTGCTGCTGATATAAAACTAGAGCAAGATACAATATATTGGGTATCAAGATCCAGAAAGATCTGGAACGTTCCTTTATAAGATGAACTTGAATACATTTTCATCTTTCCAAGTTGGGGGTGGAGGTGGAAAATGAGGCTAGGTAATTCATCCAAACAATCTGGGAATTTTAATAAACTCTAAGCTTCGTTATGATTCAGTCATACAGTGTGATACGGAGTTGAACTAGGAACAATGAGTGGATGTTACAGAGAAAGTAGATTTAGGCTTGATCTAAGGGGAAAAAAAACTTTATAACAATTAGCGTTATCTCAGAGTGGAATAGGCTTACTCAGAAGATGGTTTCCCTTCACTAAAGATCCCTAAGCAGAAGTAAGATGACCCTATGTTGTAGGGACAGCTAGGTGGCTCAATGGGTAGAGCACAAGAGTGGACTCAGGAAGACCTAACAAAGATTGAAATCCAATTTCAGACACGGGTTATCAGCCATGTGAACCTGGGCAAGTCCTTTGACCTATCTGTAATAATGACTTCTCTTAAAGGGTGGTTTTGAGGATCCTGTGAGTTAATGTGTGAAACACTTGGCAAACCTTACAGTGCTGTGTAAATGCTGGCCATTATTAGAAGGGATCCTTGTTTTATGTAGATAATAGAAGCATAGATCTAGAGTCAAAAGGGACCTCAGACAGTCATTGCATCCTTTTATAGATAAATGTAGAGGATGGGTGACTGGCCCCAGGTGTCAATGCCAGTCTGCCACTCAGTATCTGTGACCTTGGAAGGTCACATAAATTCATTTTCCTCATCTGGAAGATGAGTGGATTCGATTAGATGACCTCTAAGGTCCCTTTCTGCCCTAAATGTACTATCCTACGATATTTGAGTGTCAGTTTCTTTATCTGTTAAATTGGAGGTAAGAGTAAAAATTTCTTTTCTGGGCTTGTTCTGTTGAAAGTGCTTTGTAAAAAAGTGCTAAATATTATTAGTTATTACCTTTCTGTACTTCACAGAGTTGTTGAGAAGATCAAATTAGGTGATGGATTTTAAATCATTTTTTTAAATGGAATACTATGAAAATCTGTGCTGTAGTCTAGACAGTGGGGAACCTATGGCCTTGAAGGCCACATGTGGCCCTCTAGGTCCTCAAGTGCAACCCTTTGACTGAATCCAAACTTCACAGGACAAATCCCCTTAATAAAAGGATTTGTTCTGTAAAACTTGGACTCAGTCAAAACCCAAGGACCTAGAAGACCACATGTGGCTTCGAGGCCACAGGTTCTCCACCCCTAGGTTAAGTGACCTGTCCAGGGTCACACAGCTCATCTGAGTTGGGATTCCTCACTCACAAGTTCAATGCCATGTCCCCGTAACAATTCTGAATAAAAATAATCATGGGCCTTGGAACTGGATGGCACTGTAGAGACCACGTAGTACAGTATACTCATAAATGATCTTGTAAACCTTTCTTTTGACTAAACCAACTTGAAGGAGTAGCAATTCTCTAACTCATTTCAGAAGTGAAGGGGTAGCCTGTACAAGTTCCTTTGTCTAGCAAGCATTCATTAAGTCCATTGGAAACATTCAGGATAATACAAAGGTAGTAAGTCAGATTTCTGAAGTTCTTTAGGTTTATAAAGTGCCTTTCTCACAACCCTGTGAGCTAGAGTACAAATTTTTTTTAACTCTGATTTTACAAACATACCAACCAGAAATTATGAGCAAATTTAAAATTAAAAGATCTATTGCTTTTATAAACAAGAAATAAAAAAAATAGTCATAGTGATGTTTGTACTTTTCAAGTGTGGTTTTAAAATGAGTGGTTTTTAAATTATGTGCTTGTTAATCTTAAGATGTTCAAATCTGACTAACTTGAACTGATTGTTTAAAGATTGAACAAGAAAAACTGGCATCTATGAAGAAACAAGATGAAGACAAAGATAAGAGGGACAAAGAAGAAAAGGAGAGTAGCAGAGAAAAAAGGGAGCGATCCAGAAGCCCAAGAAGGTACAAAGTATAAATACTTGTGTTGGAGGACTGTCCTCCTGATACTGTAAAGTTTGGGTATGATAAGCAATGTTGAACAGTTTGGTTTGTCTGTAATTTTTTTAAAATAAGATATCATAGCTGCTACTATTATTATTATGCCATCTTAATCTTTTGTCCTACAGAACTCATTTGTCTGTAGAATTAAATAACCCATAACCTCCTGATAATAAAAATTCAGAGTTTTGAAAAATATAAGTTACTTCTTCCTGTTAAAAAAAAAATTTAACCATTCTGACTCATTCCTCTCTCTGTCCCCTCATGATTTTGTCATTCTCTTTTCATCAGAAACCTATTCCCGTTATCTTTAGGATTGTTTTATAAACATGTTGGACATTTCCTATCACAGATTTTTGTATTGAAATTAGACTTTAGATTCTCATTTCTATATTCTTTTCAAATTGGATTCTTGATAAGCTTGCATTTTTATTCCAGACCTGTTTCTACTTTATTTATGGAGAAAAGTAAGAATTTGAGTAGACTTTTCATTCTGAGGGTTCTCATTTCCTCCTTTCCCCCTGTGTAGTTTATAAAAGTAGGAAGGGAGATGCTAAGTAAGTACCTAATCCCTTTCACTTAAGTATTTGACACTTAAACCTATTTATAGGTGAAGGAAAGCTTCACTATAAGCAGTGCTTCTAATTTAAAGGCACCGGGTCATTGGTGACTTCACTATTAGTTCGTAAGTAAGTACCTCAGTCTTCCTTCAGTGTGAATGGAAAAAAGCCTTCCTAATGAACACTGCTTTTAAAAACAAGATTTTCACTCTCTCTAAAATTGAGTTAATTCATTGTTTCCCTTCACTTTAGCTATGTCTTCTGGTCATAGAACTTAAGTTATGCTCATTAGGAATACAGTCAGTTAATAAACATTAACTGTCTGCTGTGTGTAAGCTCTGAGGATACAAAAAAGGCAAAGCCAGTCCCTGCTCTCAAGGAGGTCTCAGTCTAATGAATGTAGGTTACTGTGCAGGGATTTGAGCTGACTATCTAATGCCTAAAATTTTGCCTTTAGCTTGCTTGATTTGTTTGTAGGATTGAATCTGGTGTTTTGTATTTAAACTTTTCCTCTAAGATGTCGTTCTTTGGGGTTTTCTTTATGCAGGCTTTTTGTCTTCTGGAATAATGAGGAAGTAAATATAATGGCTTGACCCTTTGCTTTTAAGACTAGAGATCTGAATTATCTATAACTGACATGTTCAATAATTAATTGATTAAACTTCTTTTCTTGTCTCTTTTTCTATCCCTCGGCCAGTGGGGAAGAAACAGAATGTCTAATTTCCATGTGATATTCCTTAATTATGAACTCTTTTTATTCACTCTTTTATTAAACCAATAAAAAACCCTTCCATTTCCATTTTGGACAAAGACCTGAAATAAAAACTACTTTTGTCCTAGACGCAAGTCCAGATCTCCTTCCCCTAGAAGACGAGCCTCCCCTGTCAGGCGAGAGAGAAAGCGAAGTCATTCTCGATCTCCTCGTCACAGAACCAAGAGCCGGAGCCCCTCCCCTGCTCCAGAAAAGAAAGAAGAGATCCCAGAACTTCCAGAACCTTCAGTGAAGGCCAAGGAACCTTCAATACAAGAGGCAACCTCTACTAGGCAAGTACTCTAGAAAGCTTTAGTCAGATATTTGTGAAGTTCCATTGTAATTAATTATAAAATCATTATCAGTGTGGTGTGCCTAACAGTCACATGGTATCACTGGAAGCAGTTGCTGGATTTTAGAGCTAGGAAGGAATTTCCACCAATTATACAAAGCTTTTCTTGATGGACTTTAATGCACCCTTTTACATAATTTTTAATTTAAACGGGGAAAAAAAATGATGCATTTTTTTTTCTATACAGTGATATTCTGAAAGCTCCCAAACCTGAACCTATACCAGAAACGAAGGAACCTTCACCAGAAAAAAATTCAAAAAAGGAAAAAGAAAAGGACAAAACCCGCCCACGGTCTCGATCACGATCCAAATCGAGGTCACGAACACGTTCTCGGTCCCCTTCTCATACTCGACCAAGACGGCGTCACAGGACACGTTCAAGGTGAGTTTTGTAACTTGAGCTCCATCATCTGTTAAATTCTCAAATTACAGTGTGAAAAATTAACTGTAATAACATGTCCACCCTAGAGGTTGAAATAATTAACTTTGAGGATTAGATGGGACCATTTTGCTACAACAACTTTAAGTAATAACACTTTGGGCCCTAGAAACATAATGGAAAGTATTTTAAAGTGCTGCTTGTCATTGTCTCCATCTGGAAATGTGTAGTTCATTTTCTGAAATTGGGAGTTTTGTAAACCTTAACATTTTGTGATTCTGAGCTGATGTCATTCTGTTAATGGTAGATCATATTCACCAAGAAGACGACCCAGTCCAAGAAGGCGGCCATCCCCTCGAAGAAGAACCCCCCCAAGACGAATGCCTCCTCCACCAAGGCATAGAAGAAGTCGATCTCCTGTGAGACGGTGAGCGGCTTTGTTGGGAAGCTCAAAATATTGGAGGGCCATCAGCATTCTTAGAGAATAGTCAGTTAACTTAGAAAGCTATTCCATTCCATCATATACTTGATATAAGGACTGGAAGCTGTCCACTAAGGTAGTGGTGTGTCTCAAGCAATTATAAACTGCTGGTCTTCAAAGGATGTGGTGGGCTGGGTTAGTGAGTAGGCATCTAAATGTCATGAATGACCCAACTTTTCTGAGCCTGCCTCCTCTTCTACTGTGCTCGGAGACACTAGAGTAAATAAGTTCAGTGAAATCTGTTCTTGTCAGTCATAACGACTGTAATTCTCATGTTTCTCATAAGTAGCTGTTTGCAAGACTGACTAGATATTTTAGAAGAATAAGAAAACTAATAATAATGGACTGATGGACCTTTCCTCCTGTTGATTTTTACTTGAATCGTCATGAGATTACAAGAAAGGGAAGAGTTTGGATTTCTTCATGTCAGCATACAAACTGGAAATGTTAGCTTCAGCACTCTAGAGTTGTGTGTGAGTGGCATGGCCTGCTTTACCAGTGGTCCAGTTAGGTGTTTCTCAGTGGGTAGTTCTAAGCTTGGCTGGACTTCGTCGTAGCCTGCTGCCGACACTTAGTTGGTGACCAGGGACAAATACCTTCAACTTCTTTGGGCCTCAATTTCCTCATCTATCCTGTAGTACCTCACTGGTGGTATTGTAAATCTCAAATGAGAATGTATATAAACACCTTTGCAAACTAAAATACTGTGTGAATTGAGCTGTCATTATTACAGCTCAATAGGGAAGTTAGGTGACGTAATGGGTGGAGCACTGGGCCTCTGGTCAGGAAGACTTATCTGCCCAAGTTCAGATCTGACCTCAGACACTGTGTGGCCCTGGGCAAGTCACTTTGCCCTGTTTTCCTCGGGTTTCCTCCTCTGTAAAAGGAGCTGGAGAAGGCAATGGCAAACCACTCCAGTATCTCTGCCAAGAAAACCCCAAATGGAGTCATGGAGCATCAGATATGACTGAAATGACTAAACAAAACAATCTTAAGGTTTAACTGCTTGTTGAATATGTGCCAGATTAGCCTGAAGATTGAACTGTTCTGTTAGTGTTAGATTTTTATAGCTAGAGATGAATTACAACTAAAACAAAAAATCTTTAGCATTTAGTCGTGTTAATTCTTGCTATGTATAGAGATTTCCATTTAATGGTTTTAGTTATGCACAGGTTTTCAGGATACTGAAGGTTTTATGAACAGCCAAAATGCAAAAATATTCTCTTCTTGGTTAAATTAATAAAAAGGATTGACTTCGTTATTACCAGTGGCTCAGGAGTTGATCACAACTGGTGGACTATTTATACTAGAAAGGAACCTGAAAAGTTCCTATGCTACTGCCATTATTTTAGAGAAAAAGGTTTGAGACGTAGGGACGTGAAACGACCTCTGTTGTTTTGTTTCAGTTGTCTGACCATATTTGGAGTTTTCTTGACAGAGATACTGGAGTGGTTTGCTATTTCCTTCTCCAGATCATTTTGCAGATGAGAAAACCCAGGCAAACAGGGTTAAGTGCCTTGCCCAGGATCACACAGCTAGTAAGTGTCTAAGGCTGAATTTAAACTTAGGTAGATGGGTCTTTGTAACTCCAGACCTGGCCCTCTGTGCACTAGTACACCACCTAACTGACCAGAGGTCAGAGAGCAGGTTGGTGACAGAGCTAGAGATAGACTCTGGTGTACTGGTCCCTGGCCCCAGCCCAGAACAGAGTGTGCGGTAGTCTGTGGTCCAGTACTCTTTCCCATACACCACTGGTCAATATGGCTGTACTTTTCTGTCGTAAACATTGTTGAACAGTTTTCCAAAATTTACCGTTCCTTATCTGGTGGAGAGTTGGCCCTGGGGCTTTCTAGTTGGAGGATCCATGGAAACAGCTACTACTTCTGTCAGAGTTTTGCAAACAGCGTGTTTCTTTGTTGTGCTTTCTAAGCCAATTTTCAATCAAAATATTTTGCACGTTGTGTAAGATTCCCTTTCAGCCGGTATTTCCCTCACACTTAAGGTAGGGTTTCTTTTTTTCAGGTTCTCAAGAATTCTGCCGTCAAAGGTGGATTCTGCAGGTACACATAATTGCAACAGAACTTAACACAAATTTTGTCGCAGAATTCAAGAGGCCCCCTGCCCCGGCTTAGAAGTTTATGTAGCTAAAAGAAATTCCTGATTTTTTCTCCTTCATGAGACAAATTGATCATATTGTTTAAGTATCCTAACTTTAGGAGACATTCCACATTTCAAATAAAACTACTCATGCACAACTTTTTTAAATACAACCTTAAAGGTTTGGTTGAATCGAATGTTCGTCAAATGGAAAGCTTTGCCACTTAAATTATAAATTATGTCTACAAACTCAAACACTAATGTCATTCCAAGGGACACAGAAAAGTTACATAGCGTTGGACTCTATGATTCTTGTAACTTTTAATAGAGCAAAAACTGCTACCTTTGTCAGAATGATTTTTTTCTGTTAATACTATCAGAAATAGCTGTTTCCTGACTTAGGTTATGTAGAGTTTGATTTTCCACTTAATTAAAAAAAATTCTTGATGTGCTTGGCTACATAAACTCAAAAATCAGAAAATTAAAAACTTCCTTTTTATGCAAAACATACCTGAAAAGCTGGTATTTTAACCATTGTGGTTAAAAATGAGTGCATGTCCCTTGGTCCACAGAAGGCGGCGATCGTCAGCATCTCTGTCCGGCAGCAGCTCATCATCATCTTCATCCCGTTCCCGGTCACCTCCAAAGAAGCCACCCAAAAGAATCTCCAGCCCCCCTAGAAAAACGCGTAGACTCTCTCCATCCTCAAGCCCTCCCCGGCGAAGGCATCGGCCATCTCCGCCCGCAAGCCCACCGCCAAAAACCCGTCGGTCACCAACACCCCAGCAGTCAAATCGTACTAGAAAAAGTCGTGGCTCTGTTTCTCCAGGGAGAACCTCAGGTAAAGGTAAAACCAGATTCTTGCCCACATTCTTTTTCTCTGTTTACCAAAATGGATTTGTTGGTAGTGGACAAGCTTAGGTAAGATGTGTGTGTTGACTAACCCTTATCATGTTTGTTTGAGGAAACCACCTTTCTGTCCTTCAGCATTTTAATAAGTATTGAAATTAAGGCTTCAGTTGTAGTTCTGAAGCTTTCTAGTGTAAATTGGTAGGGAAGTAATGTTACCAAGAGATGGATTTGGACTTTGTTTTTCAAAGTTCAGGTCATCATAAAGCACCAGCTTGCAGTTTAGGGAGGCATTTCATTACTGCTGGGACAGTTAGCGTTTCTTTGAAGATCTTTTTGATTATCTTACTTGAGGACGTTGTATTCTAGTTTAATTCTTTCTTTACCGCACTGTTCCCTTAAAAGAAGAACATGGTGTACTCTGAAGCATTTTTTTAAAACATGATTTCCCTTTAAATGTAGACTAGTTCTTGCTTTGTTTGTTGCAATTTTATTCTTAAGGAGTTTATGTCCTGTGATCGTGCTAGGCAAAGTAAGTTGGAATGTAGGTTGTGTAGCTGGTTGGGGTTCCTTTCTTCAATATTAAATATTCGTGGAAATAGTTTTGAGTACCATTAGTATGGCATCTAAAAGACCCCTTCAGGTTGTCAAGGTTTCAGTGTCTGGTCCTGCAATATGTTTTGTTAGAAAGGTGAATGGTGGGGGAAGACCTCCGTAAGGCCCCCTAGAGCAGCCGGAACTTAAGGATCACCATAATCTCATCTGCACTTATGGTGGAATCACTTGAAAAACTGGTGATCTTCGTATATCCCCCTCCAATGATAAGAATGTTTGCCTTGTGACTAAACTTCCTTAAATGGAGCCCAGTTGCTGCAGCATGTAGCAGGTGTCCATTGTAATAGTGTCGTAGATCACATGAAATAACCATTTGGTGTGTATTGTATTTGTACGTGAGAGGGGAGGGAAGAGGTGAAAGTGGAGGTGTCAGATAGCTTTTGAAAAAGGACGGTGCGTAGAAAAAAAGGTAAACCTTATTCTGCATACATTCATCTCTGTTGTAGTAACTATTTGAATGCACTCTATAGCTATAATATTTGGGTTTTTTTTTTTTTTTAACATGAGAGTATTTTTTTTTTAATCAGTGGAACATTTTTGGTACAGAATCCTTTTCAGCTGTTGATATGTGAATTCCTGCAGTAGCCAAACATCCAAGGGAACACTTAGAAATGCTATTGCATTCACACACTGAAGACCGAAGGGAGATCTGCATGGGACCTGGGGTTGGAAGTGTTCTGGATGGCTCCACAACTGGTTCTCTGGAAGTTGAACTGGTGGGTGTTGTGGCTGTCTGTCCAAAGACCACTTCATTTTTAGGGACCAGGGGACCTAGGCTATTATAAAGTCACCAGCGGAGGAAGGGGGTGATAGTTAATGTATAGCACAGCTCATCATTTGTTAATGAATGTTACCAAAAGCAGGGCGTCCTTGATAAATGGGTTGGCTCCTAAATCAGCGGAGATGTTGGTGCCAACATCCCAAGTTTTCTGTTTGAATAGAATCTCAAAAGGATATTGATAACTTCTTACATAGGATTTTATTTGAGGTAGCAGCTCCCCGTCTTAACCAGGTCTCCAGGGATTGATTGGAGCTCATACTTTTGACAATGGCAAGCCGCCATGGTAAAAGATTAAGTGAAGGGAGGGGGAAGTAACACTTTTATTTACTCCTCAGAATTCGGCAGGGGTAGGCGGGAGGAGGCAAGATAGGGTATTTTGGGAAAATTATAGGTTAATTATCCTTTGGGGACACTACTGCACATTCTATCAGAACAAGTTCCTGAGGCAGTCAGCTTCAGAGCTAGTTTTTTTCTTTTTAGATTGTTACTGTGATATAAGGAACAAGAAAAATAAAAGAGAAAAGGTACTGATGGTGGTGCCAGCCATGCTCTGGTTTGTTTAAAATACAGGGCCTTACAGGTACTTTGTTGTCCTGTATCCTTCACTGCCTTTCAAGGCATCAGTAGATGTATTCTTTCAAGTCACAGAAAATTGTGGGCTTAAATGGATTACTTAACGAACAGTAGCAGTTTTCTGTTGTGTGTATTTTTTCCCATTTATTTACATTAAATTCATATATTTTGCTAGAAGAATACTTGCCTCTTCACCATAGTAAAATCTATTACATTAATTTTAAATCATGGTCAAAGAGCAGCAGAAATTTCTGATGAACAGTTAATAATATTAAAAAATATTAGCAATGATACTGTGACTCAACTCAGACATTGAAAGAGAAAGTAACATTGTGTTATAAAATTTGATAGTAGAAATATGTACATCAATGTATTTGTAATAGGCAGCATGGTATGGTGTGAGAGGCTGCCACTGAGACAAGAAAAGCTGGGTCCAAGTCCCATTCCTAGCATACTGGCTGTGGCCTTGGGCAAGTCATTTCTCTTATAAATCACCCAGGCATTCATCTCACTGAAATTCTTTAAGGGTGCAGGAAGGGGCGAGTCTGCCTTGGTGGACAGCAGTGTTCACCAGAAACTCTCTGCCTCAGAGAAATAGGTCCAGTAAAATTTTATGTTAATCAACTTTAATTTCTAGTTTGTTCATAAGATACAAAAGATAGACTTTTCTTATTTTCTCCAAATGATTTCTCAATTTCAAATAATTCCAAAGGAAACTTTTTTTTTATTCCTAACAGAAGAAATTAGAGCAATTAAAACTGATTGTAAATCAGCAAGCATTTATTATATCCCTACTATGTGTTAGGCACTGTGCCAAGCCCAGAGGATGCAAAGAAAGGCAAAAACTAATTTAGCAACCCTATTAGAGTGCCTGGCACAGAGTTCTCAAGCAGCTTAGATTCTAATAGAGGGGACAACCTCTAGATAACTTTGTGCATAAGAAGTGTGTACAGGGGAAGTGGCAGGTGGTCTCAGAGGAAAGAGCTATTGGGTTAGGAGGAACGGCTGGGAAAGACTTCCTACATTAGGTTGGATTTGAGCAGATTTTTGAAGATGGCCAATAATGCAAGGAGGGGAGAATATTCCAGGCCCCGGGGACAGCCATGACAGAGTCATGAAGACAGGAAATGCAGTTTTCTAAGGCACACAAAGTAGGCTGGTGTAGCCAGCTTTTAGAACTTTGGAGAGGAATAGAGTATAAGAAGAGTGGAGAGATAGGAAGGCCTTTAAACACCAAACAGGACTTTATATGGAATCTGGGGAGTGATAGAAAGCCCCTGTGTTTTATTGATTGGGGGGCCAGGTGACAGACCTGCACTTTGGTAAGGTCACTTTGGCCTCTGAGTAGAGGATGAACTGGACAGGGGTGTGACTTCTGGGAGATAAATCAGAAGGCTTTGAGGGCCTGCATCAGGGTAGTAGCAATTTCAGAGGAGAAAAGGACGTAAAAGAAACTGAAGGTAGAAGTGACACAATTTGACAAGAGATTGGAAATGTGGGATGAGTGAGATTGAAGAATCGGGATTATACCAATGTTGCAAGCTTAGGTGAGTTGGAGAATGGCGGGGCCAGCAGCAGTAGAAAGGAAGAAGGGAGAGGATTTGGCAAGGGAGTTGATGAGTTCTGTTTTGGACATAGTCATTTTGAGATGCACAGTTTACCCAGAGATGTCTAGCAGGCACTTGGTGATGCAGGTTGTAGCTCAGAGGAGACATTAGGATTGGATATGTAGATCTGGGAATCATGCATAGAAATGATAGTTGAACAGTTTTTAATAAATCCATTGTAGTATTTTGTCTTCCAAAATCCTGTTATTAAATATATATATTTATAAAATAGCCCTGAAATTCATCATATAATGCTGGGTGGTCTGCTTTACAGATCCCTTCCTTAATACTCGCTAGCCTTACTGGGCTGACTTCCCTGGCTAGAGAAGTTGAGGGAACGTCTCTCTTTCCCCTTGGTTGCCAACTGACCCTCATCCCTCCAGTAGATATTAGACACTGACTGTGATAAGGTGGCAAAACTGGAGGCCATTACTCAGACCCCCATTTTGAAAAATGAGGGGGATGTTCTCCTTGTAAATGAATTTACGGCTTGATAGCTGGTGTTTTGATTATGGGATTCTGTTGTGTACACTTCTGGTAAGTGCCTGTTCTTGGTTCTCATCCTGAAATGGAACAGATGGGAAGGAATATGGAATCTAGGGAAGTTGAGGACATTATTGAATAAGATGTTGGTTAAAAAATTCCCTGTAAGATCACAGACCTGGTTCTCGGAGTGTGTGATTCTTGGGTTGGCTGAGGTGGTTAGACTAGTGTGGTTGTACATAGGAACTCGCCTGCCAGCTTAGATGTATGTGAAATGGAACAATGACAGGTAATGAGAGTAAATGCAAAAGAATAGCACAGTAGCATCAGGATGGTGTTAGGAGAGCTGGAGCTGAGGTTGCAGAAAGGTGGAGGAGTTTTTGCTAGTTGTGGGGGCTGGGGGAGTTGGAGCAGGGAGAGGACACTGGCTTGCCAGCGGTCTGGGAGATGACAACTGCCTTCTGGAAAAAGGCTTCTGCTGCTAGTTTCTTATCTTGCTTCTGTTTTCTCTGTATCAAGAATGATTTGGTCTAGGAAGGAGAGAACAGAACTGAAGTGGCTCATGGGGCTTACTTTCTAAGATAAGTAAGGAGATAGAGCACTTGGCACCTTACTTGGACTATTCCAAGTTATAGCAGTTACCAAAAGAATGGGTGTTAATGCTGAGGCACTGTCAGCACTTTGAAAGATCCTGGTAGACTGAGGCTGAGACTTTAGGCTGCTGAGATTGACTTCTATTCCTAACAAAATTTTGAAACTTTAAAGAAATGGTAAGTGAAATTGTAGAAAAGGTTAGTGATCAGAGAATGCTTCATCAAGAATGTTGTCCCAGACTAATCTTATGTCTGTTTTACTAAATTGGTAGATGAGAGTGGTAGGGATAGCACACCTGTATTTTCACAAATCTTTGGATTAAACCATTTTTCATTCTGTTCTTTTGGGAAAGATGAGTAATGGCAGCCTAGATGATAGGAAAATCAGATGGATTCAGACAAGCTGGACCCAGAATGAAGTTGTTCATTGTTTGATGTCAGTTTAGAAGGAGGTCTCCATGGAGTGTCCTGGGGATCTGTGTTTGTGAACATTTCAGTTAGTGATTTGTATAAAGGCATAAGTGGTCTGCTTATCAGATTTACATATGATACAAATCTGGGTAATAGAGTTAGGATTCAGAAAGGTTTTTGACAAGCTAGAACATTGAGTGAATCCATTAAGATGGAAAGTAATAATAGGGAAATATTGTCTCTAACTTGGATTCAAAAAGTCAGCTTCACAAATACAAGATGAGAGTTACTATCATTAGATAGTGACTTGTGTGAAGATATGGTTGCGAGTCAACATTGGATTATGGCAAAATCTAATGAGATTTTGGGGTGTATCAAGAGGTTGGAATGAGATGATTGTCCCACTGACTTCTGTCACATTCAGAGCATCTGGAATAAATAATCATGTCATATTTTTATGTGTACGTGCTTGAGAGTGTCCAGATGAGGGCAGCCAAGATAGTAAAAGACCTTAAATAGGTCTGTGCTATTTAAGGATTGGTTGAAGAAACTGAGGATTTTTGGCCAGGAGAATTACAGGACTGGGTGGAGCCTTAGTGGGATGGCCACTGGTACACAACCGCTTGTATTTGAAGGCCTTTACCTCGAAGAAGGATGGGGCTGGTTCTGTTTGGTTCCAGAGCTCAGAACTAGGAGCAGTAGGTGGAAGTTGCAAAGAAGCTGTTGGAGACTTAGAAGGAAAAATCGAAGAATAAGAATTATCCATCAGCAGAATAAGCTGCCTCAGGAGGTGATAGTTTTTCTTTCATTGGGCATCTTTATGGAAAGGCTAGGTGCCCATTTTTCAGGTACTATCGTAGAAGGGATGATGGGGGCAGGCGGTGTTGAAGTACAATTATTACAGCCGCTCATTTTAGGGAGTTTGAAGTTGTGGTTTCTTTTGAGAACTACAGCTTTACCCAGCCTGCTTGTGTTTTACCTCAGGTGGGTAAATCTGTCTTAAGCTAATTGAGTTGGAGGGTTTAGAACCTGAGAGGACTTGAGATTCTAGTCCAGCCCTCTCCTTTCTGGAAAACTTGAGGCCCCAGAAAGGTTCATTGCCCCAAGAAGAATGCTCCCACCTCAGCACTTAACAACCCTTATAAACCACTGGGGAGTTTTTCCCTTAAATCTTTGTTGTTTTTAAGGTCATCCTCTGTGTACTGATCCTAAACTATCAGTTGAACATGGTAAATCATTGTTCTTCTGACAATTCCATTTTCATCGATTTTTCTCTTAGTTCTTTTTGACCCTTTAACCATCTTTATTCCTTATTCTCTGAACACACACAACTTGGACAGTAACATGCTTCCAATGAGTCAGTAACATGCTTCCAATGAGTCCTTCTCTAAGTTATTTGGAACCCCAAATGACACAGTCCCATGTTTACTATAATGGGATAATGACTTCCCTTCTCATTTGACTATTACTTATTAAGTGTAGCCAGCTCACCTTAGGCTCTAGTCAGTCCCCAGAGAAAACTCTTAGTACTGAAAGTACTAAGATTTGAAGTACTGAAGCCCCTTTTTAGCTTTTCACCAGATAGACAATTTAGTGTTCACTCCTTTTTTTTTTTTTTTTTTTAGGGAGAGCTTTCATAGCTTCTTAGTTGTACCCTCAACCCTTTAAGACCACTAAGAGGTTAGCACTTACTGTTGGAGGCACACGTTTGGAGCATCTGCAGAAAATCATGCATGCTGCTGTGCTGGCCTGACCAGGGCATGTCTTGCCTGAGTACTTCCCCTTTCTCTGCCTAGTCTGTGGGCACACCAGTAGAGTTCTTTTGTTGGGGAACAGGAACGTCTGCCTTCTCTATAACAAGGTTCTTCAACCAGTTACTCTGTGGAGCTGTGTATGTTTCAGAGAACTGGATGGGACTTCTGTCTGAATGGTTACTTTTTAAAAGCCATTAGGTCTTGTTTAGTCATCTGACAGGAGGAAACTGAAGCCCCATCTCACACAGGTGCAGAATAAAAAGCCAAGGTTTCCAGGCTGGGTTGTCTCAACTGATATTCTGTACTCTCCTTAACATTGCCATGTATGTCACCTCTAGTGTGATTTCATTGGGATCCTAGTGCTGTTTATCATCCTTTCATGGGATCACCTTTTGCTTTGTTTCCCCTCTTCTCTAGCAACAAAACATAAAGGTACCGAGAAAAGGGAGTCACCTTCACCAGCACCAAAACCTCGGAAAGTAGAGTTATCTGAATCGGGTAAGTTTTGTTAACATTGTATTAATTTTGCTTCAACTAGTTGAAATCCCAGTGGGTCATAGGAGTGCAGGGAGAAAGGAGGAAACCTGCCATCACTAGGTCTGTGACCTGAATGAGTCATTTCACCTGTGAGCCAGTCTGTAAAATGGGATCATTATTCCATTCGCTCCAGGCCAGATGGGATGGAAGCTGCTCTATAGACAGGAAGCACTGGAGATGTGAGGAGCTAGAGAAAATGTTCATAACTACTTTTGTTTGAAGAGGACGTGAAATCCTGCGTCATCTCTAATCTTACTGACCCCCGGCAGGGAAGGCTGCCCAACCTTCTTAGAAGGACAGACAGATCTCTGTGTCTTTTAAGGGTAAATACTTTCTAAACACACGTGTCTTTCAGAAGAAGACAAAGGTGGCAGAATGGCAGCAGCTGATTCCGTGCAGCAAAGGCGGCAGTACCGGAGACAGAACCAGCAGTCTTCTTCTGGTACAGACACCGGCGTTTCTCTGAACTGACTTAGAAAGGGAGGGCTCCCCAAAGGGTTGGATTAAGAGGTCAGCTCCCTCCTGTTGGAGCAGGACTTCCAAGTCCTTATTCATTCATCGTGGTATTTTCAGGCCCAGAACAGTTCCTTTACTACTCAGCCGTTACGAAATGACATATGGCTGTAGTTACTGGGCTGCTTGTATGTTGGGTAGCATGTTTGTTCAGTTGAGTTGATCTAAAATGATATGCTTTAGGTTTACGGCGAGTCCCTAAATTACTCATCTCTCATACCAGTTATAAAACAGTAACCTCTCAGACATTAGAGCTGTTGGAAGTCTATGGTGCGTGAAAGATACTTTTTTAGAAATTTAAGGTGATGTTTTCAAATTAAACATTTAAAAATCTCTGGGGAGATATGCCCCCCACCCCAACAAAACGAACAGACAAACCAAAAAACACTTAATTCCCAGATTCGAAGTTTGAGGATTTTCTTTATACCTACTAAAATGATTATACCAAAATAGATAGAATAAATGTATAACTAATACAAAAGGTTATAGGCTATCTATTTAAGTAATTAAGATGCAAATGCTTGTTTGAATATTAACAGATTTTTGTAGTTTTTATTGGGGGTCTGTATTGTAATTACTTTGTGTTTTTGTATTGTGGAAGAGGGTAATTTAATTAAGGAATTTAGCATATACAAAGGAAACTAAGAAAATCTGAACTTGTGTGTGGTTTCAAGCCAGAGTTTGTAAGAAATGACATAGGTTTATAGAGATTGTATGAGTATGGGGTGGGAGTACTGTAGTTATGTAGAGAACAGAGGTAGTACGAGGATAATGATATTAAAGACAGATTATGATTTATCAGTTTTAGATTATCATAGATGACAGATTTTGTATATTCATGTACTGATATAACTTCATTCCATTTCCCTTTTGCCAAACTGCCTTCAGGATTAAAATATTACAATTGAATGCCTAGAAGCAAAAGCAACCTGAGATGTGTTTAGTTTTATAGTTGCTTGTTAGAACAGCCAGTGACCTCCCAGACAAATCTGTGGCTGTTTCTTCTGCATTGATAATGCTATTGAAATAATATGTTTCCTGCTTTTGTGTTTGGTTTCAAAATCAGTGAGCATTTCTTGATCATCTACAGATTTCAAACGGGGTGTCCATGCTAGGTGTTTAAGATGGTTTATTGTGCTGATAAGCTTAATTCTAGCATCTTGTCCATGTTGTCACCTTGCTTTCAAGAGAAGGTGTGAGATGTATTCAAACAGACACACTCATCCTGGTGGGTTTGGATAAAAGTCAAATGCCAGCCTGGCTACAGTTGGCCATTGCACAAGAGCGTAAAGTGTTAACTCAATTTTCCGTGGCCAATTGTGTGATTGTAGACTCTGGCTCCTCCTCCTCCTCAGAAGACGAGCGACCGAAGAGATCAAACGTGAAAAATGGAGAAGTGGGAAGGCGTCGACGCCATTCAGCCTCCCGGAGTGCATCCCCATCGCCACGGAAACGTCAGAAAGAGTCCTCTCCTCGGTAACTTTCTTTACTAAGTCTTAGTGCCACTGCTTCTAATGACAGTGAGGATCTAGTTTCTAGACCAGGGGTAGGGAACCTGTGGCTTTGAGGCCACATGTGGCCCTCTAGGTCCCCAAGTTCAGCCTTTGACTGAACCCAAACTTCACAAAACAAATCTCCTTAATAAAAGGATTTGTTCTGTAAAATTTTGACTCGGTCAGAAGGCTGCAACCAAGGACCTAGATGACCACATGTGGCCTCGAGGTCACAGGTTCCCCACCCCTGGTCTATACTGAGCCCTTCTGAAAGAATAGTATGGCTTAGTGTTAGTGCTTCTTGCAGGGAATCTTCAGTTGATTCTATCTTGGGGTTTGGTTTTAATTTGATAATTGTTAATGTGTGTCATGAAATTAATGTGAGTTATATACGCATGTTTTGTCACGTGTGCATGACTGTAAGGAACTTGAAGTGTAACCCAAGCAATTCTATTTGGTGGGGTTCGGTTCTGTTTCCCTCAGTGTTACGTATTGCATCAAAGTAAATGTATGGTGAATCAAGTTTTTGACATTTGTTTTTCTCCACTGCTCTCAGGATGCAGATGGGAAAGAGATGGCAATCGCCAATGATTAAAAGGTTGGTTAGAAATTATTTTGTAAATTAGGGTTAAGTATCAAAGCTTTAGTTTTCTCCCTTCCAGGTGACTTTTCTGTGATCTGAATCAGGGTGGGTGACAATATGGAGATGCTCCTTGATTCTCTCAGAAGCCCATTTAGGGGGTCAAGAAAACTCAACTCCAGCTGCTGCCTTAAAGCTATATTCAAACCATGTTTTTGGTTTCTTGTTACCTTAGTTTTGGATAATGTTTATAATCTTGTATCAGGTGTATATTTTTACAGCTGCTCTGCAAAAGGCTTTTTTTAGAGGACTCAGAACTCGGGAGCTGGGCAGGACCTTGATTGCAGTCATCTAGTAGAACCCCCACTGTACCAGTAAGGAAACCAAGACCCAATTACTGGCCCGGGGTCCACACTACAAATAAGTGGCAGAGACCAAAACTAAGTCTTAAGTGCTTCCTTGGGCTCCATAAGTTGGCCAGCTTTTGTATTTATATGGAAAAAAAAACAACCAACCCTGAAAAAAAAGATGCAGCATTTTTCTATGAAAATAAGGTAAATGAAAATGTTGATGTCCAAACTCACAAAACCTATTGGAATTTTACTGGACCTATTTCTATCAGACAGAAGTTGCTTATTAGCATTTTCAATTAGCCTTGCTGCAGATTCTCTGACTAATACCATTTTAGTACCATTTGGAATCCTAGGTCCCATAAGTGTAGTTCATTTATGCCATGAGTAAACTGGATGTTTCAGTGAGGATATTGGGAACTATTTGGTCTTATCCAGAAACAGGAGTCTGGGGCATCATAGCCCAACCAGTGATGGATAAGGCACAGATACATTCCTAGTAGGCCATGTATTGGCTCAGTCAACTTTATTTGGAAAAATCAGAACCTTTAAAAGATATGATATGGGTCAAAAGAAGTTTGGCTTCATTTCACCAGAATTAACCCATGATACCGGCCTTTTTCTCTGGGGAATCCCAGCTGTAATGTAACTGATTTTGTGGCTCTGGCCCACGCCTGCTGAGATACTCGACTTGGACTCATGTTTGATAGCTCTCAGTTTGAAGGTAGGACCTACTTCTTCAACCAAATTACATTTTTCTACCGTTTCTCCTCACTTCAGCTCACATTATTCAACTAGATTTGTTTGATCTTCTCTTCCCAGTAAAAAGTCGTTTTAGTCTGTTAAATGTAAATATCAGATTAAATGGCATTGAAAATGACTGTCAAAATTTTGTAGTTTAAACCTAACTAGTGTTATGAGGTGAAAAAAAGGACCATTTGGAATTCCAGGTGAAAAGACAGCACTCTGCTGTGGTCTTAAAATTTATTTCCTTTATTAGAGGAAATATTAGATGTAGGTAGATAGTAGAGATTAAAATAGATATTAGATATAAAAATATATTAGAGTTTTAAAACACTATGGAAGCAGTGGGTATACACAAAAGCTGAGAAGTAAAATGACCAGAACTCTCCCAACTCTTCATCACACCTTTGACTAAGCTCTCGCTGTCCTGCCACCCTGAGGACATTATGAAAACAGCAGGCTGGCTCCCCTTTGAAGCTAGGACGTAACTGCCCAAGTTAACTTAAGAGATCAGAAAGTGAATTTCCAAGACTTTTAGTGACTTCTCCAAGGTCACATGGTAATGAGTACTAGCAGCTGGGGTTTGAACCCAGAACTCACTACTCCAAATCTATTTTTTTCCCTTTTCTCATTAGTTCAGTCTGAGTTCTGAAGTTCTTTTGGATGTTTATTTATCTCATGATTTGACTTTCCACTCACACAAAGTTGCCTGAGCTTTCTTATCATATCCCATGGGGTTGGGGCACAGAGGTGGCTGCTTTGGCGCCTCTTTTGAGTGATCTCCGTGAATAGACCTGCCTAAATTTTCTCCAACTCTTGTGGACCACCAGGTTGTGTGTTCTTTGATTTTGTTACTGCATTTTCTTTTGAGTTCTGAGACTGTGTAGTTTGTTTCCATGCTGAATTTTAATCTGACTTCATCATATCCAAGATAGCAGATTTTGTTTTTAAACTTATAAATATTATATTTTGGAAATTTTCATCCCCCTCAGGGCACTTTCAGGTGTCCATAACAGAGTTAAACCGGTCTGGATATTTGTCCTAATCCCTGAGTGATCCAACTCCCCCTGCCTGAACATTAAGATTGTCATCCCGAGTTTTATAATTCCCATCATTCTTTGTCCCATCCAAGAACCAAACCATTCAATCATTGTGCTTTCATCTGCTGGATCAGGAGTGTTTGTCAAATGTTGTATGTTTTGGTTTTATTATTGTTGTTTTACTTTCCTTTTCATAGCCCCTAAATCCTAAAACATCATGCTGTTCAAAATAGAGGCATGGGAATGTTGAAACAAATCTCCCTGTAATGGTATCCAGTAAAGCAGCAACTTGCATGCTGTCTGAGAAATATGACCCCTGAAGAGCATTTTTTGTGATTAGGATATAATTGGATCACTTGCTAGTACATTTATATACATGGTAGATAGCTGTCCTCAAAGCCAGAATGTATTCAAGTAATACTTCTTTCTTACATATACTGATTAGGAACCTGGTCAAGTAAGACTAAACAGTTCCAGAGTATTATTTCTATAGGTATTTCCCCTTAGATAGAGTTCCCTTTATCAGTGGAGTCTTGGGGCCAAGCTACAACATTTTTAGATTTCCAGAACACTTTATAAATATTATCTGATTTGTTCCTCTACTACCTTGTGATACAGGTAGTATGTATTTTGCAGGTGAGGAAAACTGAGAGATCGATTATGACTTAAGCTCTCAGCTGTTTTGTAAGTGGCAATGCTGGGTTTCAAGCCCAGGTTTTCTGACTCCAAATCAAGTGGTATTATGTAAATTGAATCTTAAACAGTGTTGTGTGTCCCCCCCCCCCGCCACCCCCCCCCCCATGAAAGCATAACGCAGTCTTCAAATTTTAGTTGTCACAGTGATATTCTTCTTTCTTTTGTATTATAGGACTCATTTAGTTAAGGATGATAGATCCAATCTAAATACTTTGATTACAGTAGAGGCTTGCAAATTAATGTCTGACTAAGGAGAGTAATATGTTTGTACTGGTTGAGAAAGGAAAGACATGCCATGCATTTGTCCGACTCTCGGACAGATGGCAAGCAGAGTTGTGAACTTTAGCATTTGTTATAATAAGACTGCCAAGTTAACTTGGTCTTCTTAACCTTCCCAAGCAGTATATGAGGCATAATCATCTGTTTTTACAGTGGTTCCCATTGTGAAGTTAATCGGGATGCTCAGGGTACTTGAGGTTTTTTTTTTTCTTTAAGAGACTTGTATTAAATTAAGTTGGTTTTATTTACATATATACACACACAACTCTAGAACCAAGGCAATGACTGGGTCAAAAGAGAGCGGCCTTAACATAGTGATATTTAGACCACAGCTTTCAAGCCACTGGTGCCTCTTTCATGTGTAGCCTCATATTAAATGAACTCTATAACTCATTTAGTCTTATTCCCTTCTTTCACCAAGTGAAGAAAATGAGGCCCAAAGCTGTGAAAGTTGTTAGTGGCTGAGCCGAGGCTGGAACCCAGCTCTAATCTCCATTCCTGGTACTCTGCTGTAACATGAGGCTTTTTTGGATTTCAGATTGCTAGATTTCTTGACATTATTATTATATTAGATTCTAGCAGCTACAGAAGCCACAATTAATAATCCCCTTTCTTTTGGTTTAGTAGTAGGCGGAGAAGAAGTCCTTCACCACCACCAGCCAGACGACGGCGCTCCCCTTCTCCTGCCCCTCCACCCCGGCGGCGGAGGTCTCCTACACCACCACCGCCACCACCACGGCGCAGGTACCTCGGGTTTGGGGGCTTGGTAGCTTCTGCTTGGGAGTAAGTGACAAGGAAGCACAGATCTGTGGCTGACACATGACATGAATGATCCTAGTGTACAGCAAACTGTGAGACTTCCGACTGGCTGAAGGTGTATAGGAGCTTGAACCTGAAGTTTATATTCCAACTACAATCCTTATATGGTCCTTTAAATGCTAGTTTCAGGATGAGGTTAGCCTTTTGCATCCAGGGAGCTGAAAGGAGAGAAAAGCATCTTAGGGATTGTTTATCTAGAATTCAACTAGAAAGTTCTAATAATGTTGCAGGGAGGGAGACAGAGATCTTCATTTTACTTGCAGATCAGGGATATGATCCAAAAGCCATAGGCCTGAATATTAGGAACCCCCCAGTTCTACTTTTGACTTTGCCCATCAACTAAATGTGTTATCATTAGGCAAGTCCCTTTTCTGTGGGTGTCTGTTTCCAATTATGGGTTCAATAAGATGATCTTCTAAGGTTTCTGTTACCTCTAAGGTAATAACACTTTTACATTAACTCTTACATATTCTACAACTTTTTTTTTTTTTTTGGCAAGGCTATTGGGGTTAAGTGACTTGCCACAGGGTCACACAGCTAGTAAGTATTATGTGTCTGAAGCTGGATTTGAACTTGGGTCCTCCTGACTCCAGGGCTGGTGCTCTATATCTTAAAATTCCTGTATAATAAGAATAAATTGTTAATAATCATTACTAAGAAGTAAGTCCCAGCATTCTAAAAGTGCCTTCTGAATCATCATAAAAAGATAAATTGATGTTCCTTACAGTTTTGTGTTTAGTATGCTCAGTTTCTTTACCTATAAAGTGAGTGTATTGGGCTAGTTGACTTCAAAGGTAACTTCTAGCTCTATATAATCCTACCCTATCCTAAATGAATTTTTTGAAAATTTGAAACCTGGGGGCAGCTAGGTGGCCCAGTGGTTAGAGCACTAACCCTGGAGTCAAGAGGACCTGAGTTCAAATCCAGCCTCAGACACTTGACACTTACTAGCTGTGTGACCCTAGGCAAGTCACTTAACCCCAGTTGCCTCACCCAAAAAAAATTTTTTTTTGAAATCTGTTACTTGAGCTAACTGGAGCCTACCATTCTGGCTAAGTCAGAATATTGTAGAAAATGAATCCTTAGCTACTTCTTGGCTGGTATGAAATTTTTGAACTCTAAACATGGCTCCTGAGAGAATCCCTCCCGCAGTAGATAGAGGCTTTTTTCCACCTAGCTTTCCTTTGTGGTTTGTTCCCCCTGCCATAGTTTTTCTCCTCACCTTAGTGTCTGTATGTGTGTTCTAGGACTCCTTCTCCTCCCCCACGTCGACGCTCACCTTCTCCAAGAAGATACTCTCCTCCAATCCAGAGAAGATACTCTCCTTCCCCGCCACCACCTCCCAAGCGAAGGGCGTCGCCTTCGCCTCCCCCAAAGCGACGGGTCTCCCATTCACCACCTCCCAAGCCAAGAAGTTCCCCTGTTACAAAGAGACGTTCCCCTTCCTTATCATCTAAGCATAGGAAAGGGTCCCCTCCTAGCCGATCCACCCGAGAAACCCGGTCTCCTCTACCAAACAAAAGGCATTCACCTTCACCACGGCCTCGAGTTCCTCATACCTCTGCAAGTCCTCCCCCACTCCGAAGAGGGGCTTCATCTTCACCCCAAAGAAGGCAGTCCCCGTCACCAAGCACTAGACCTATCAGGAGAGTCTCCAGAACCCCGGAACCCAGAAAAGCAAAAAAGTGGGTGCTTTTAGAATTGTTAGATTTTTCGCTGCTCATTTTTCAACAGATTTTTGTTACAGGGTATGTTTTGCCTCAAATGTCTTTAAAGGTCCCTTCTATCTGTACCTTCTACAGTGTCCTTGATAAGTATTTGGCTAGTCTTTGCTTGAACACATGGCCACCCATTCTGTTTTTTGGTTAGAAAGTTATTCATTCTGTGGAAAGCTCTGCTTTTCTGCCCACTTGTATGAGGTAGTCCTATTTCTCCCCTCTAGCTTCACATAGAAGTCTAGAATGCCATATTACACTAAAAGGGCATGACGTGGTAGAGTGAAAAGAATGCTGGCCCTAGAATCCAAAGGGCCGGATATGAGTCCCAGATCTGTCTCTGCCCATGGAATCATGGGCAAGCCTGGGCATCTGTTCTCATATCTATAAAAGGGTTTTTGATTTGATCTCTGAGAATCCCTTCTAGCTTTAAAGTATATGATCCTTTGGATTTGTCATAAGCAAATTTGGTATTTGAAGTTCCTTCTTGGCCCTCAGCCTTCAAAGGCTCGATGTTAGAAGAGCACAAGGACCCCCATGTTGGAGAGGCCTTGTCTGTGAATATTGGACCACTGACCTACTAGTGAAATACAGAACGATTTAGCAGTGGAACCTTATTATTTTTTTACTTTTGCTTATTTATTTTGGTGAGGCATTTGGGGTTAAGTGACTTGCCTAGGGTCACACAGCTAGTAAGTGTCAAGTGTCTGAGGCCAGATTTGAACTCAGGTCCTCCTGACTCCTGGGCTGGTGCTCTATCCATTGCGTCACCTAGCTGCCCCCATGTATTTTTTTAGATGTAGCAACTTATGAAATAGTCTCCCTCATTAGAAGAAGAAAGGGAGTACTTCCCCATCACCCCTCTGGTACTGGTGAAATCAGGGCCTTGTTCAAGTGTTAAAGAGCTTTCTAAGCATGTCAGAAAACAGTAGAAATACAAAGTATTTGAAGCAAACTTGATGGGGTTCTCAGTCTCTTTTTAGTCTTCTAAGAAGATATGTCCTTAAATCATCATTAGTCTATGTGAATTTGTTTGATGCTCCTTAGTAAAATGTTAATGGAATCCTTCCAGAATCCTGACTGGGCAGATCCTATATTGTTCTCCTTAACTGAAAAGCACGCTGGGAGAGAAAAGAAAAACGTTATCAGTCGGGGAATAATAAAGTTCCCTAAATTTGCTTTCCTCCATTCCCAAGGAGGAATTTAGAGACGTGGATCATGTTACCATTAGCTTGATTTAGGAACCTTTTGTAACCAGATACTAGATTTGAGTAAGATACTGTGCAGATTGCTGTAGCACCTTTCCACCTAGGGGTGTGAGCTCTTTTGGACTCCAAGTGATTGGCATTGTCTTTGCCCCTCAGAGGTGGTCATATTACTACTTTCCTGCGTCTTGTGGGACTTTATACTATGGTAAAAGTGGCCTGGTGTATGTAATATGAAGGAACAGTTTAAGAGTCTGGTAAGTTATATACATAAAGAAAGTATTACAAGATTTTTTTTAACCTTTGCTTTCCCACTCAGTGGGGAATCAAATCAGGCAATGAAATTTGATTAGGATACTTAATGTGAATTGGCAGAGTATATATGCCACTAAGGAATTTGGAGGGTTAATCTTTTTCTCTGTTTTCAGGGCTGCCTCACCAAGTCCCCAGTCTGTAAGAAGAGTCTCATCCTCCAGATCTGCCTCCAGATCTCCTGAGCCAGCAGCTAAGAAACACCAAGCACCTCCATCCCCCACCCAGTCTCAGTCCCCATCCACGAACTGGTCGCCAGCAGCACCTGTCAAGAAGGCTAAAAGCCCCACGCCAAGCCCATCCCCTGCCAGGGTAGGAGTCTCTTTGTTCAGACATTCGCCAACGGCTGTTTGCTAAGTGTCTGTTGTGCACAGTGCTTCGTGTGGGGGTGGGGGGTGATAGAAAAATAAATCGGATATTATCCATGCCCTCTGTTAAAAGGGTGATAAGACTTCTGTAATTCAATTTGATTCAAGTCATCGAACAGTTATTAAGGGCTACTTTGTGCAAGGTATCATGCTTGGTTTTAGGGACACAGACACATGCCTGGCTATGATAGGTGCAAAGGAGAGAGCAAAAGATTTGAGGAAGAGATTCCTTTTAAGTTGGGGAAGGTTGTGCCTGAGTTGGCAGGGTGGCAATTTCAGATTGGCTAGGATATGGAAGACAGCCAGTTTGGAAGAGACCTGTATCAATGAAATCATAGGACCAGGTCTGTCCTTAGCTGCTAGAAAACTGGGAGAGCAAGGCCACTGTTGGGAAACAGTCACTTCTGCAAAGTGATGAACAAGTCTGTTCCTCGGGCCACCCAGGAAGTCTGGAGTCAACACAATTTCGCAGCAGGTTACAGTGAACAGAGGTGGCGAGTCAATGTCCAGGTTTCCAGACTGGATGACTTAGGGAGGTGGAAGAAGGGCAGGAGCGGGTGGGAAAGGGCTGCAGGGAAGAGAATAGAAGGGTAGGAATTAGAACCCGAGGTGGGAGGCCTGTGCTCAGACCCTGCTTCTCTTTCCCTCCTGCCTAATCTGCCTTGGGGGGAGGCGGGGCAGGTTCCCCTCAGGGCGTCACTTGTACTCATCATAGGTCTAGACAAAAAAAAAATACAGTAACCATAGTCACAAAAAATTATGTGAGTGGGAAATGTCCTACTAGTCGTCTTCATTTTTCTTATTTGATCTTTTAAATCATTGACATTTTCACTTAGATTGCCCAGAGAAATGTTGCTAGAATGCTTTGGTGTTTTTTGTTGGAAGCATTTCACTATTGCTTACTTAAACTGAAAATTAATAGGCAGATTCTGTCAGTGAGCATCTGTCCTAAATTTTCAGTTTTTCGTAAACCAAATACTTGGTGTGTTTTTTGAGACATTCTGCTGATTGGAGTGTTTTTTGGTTGCAGCCCATAATTGGATATCGAAGTCATGTATATGCTCTTATAGAGAGAGGAAAAGAGAATAATCTGATATCACTGTGCTCCCTTAAATAGTGTTTCCTATAATGAGGGAGGAGGGCTCCCATTTTTTTTTTCCAGTAATGGTGCATTTTACACTAGAAAAAATGAGAACAGTGTTAATAGCATTGCAGAACACTCTCAGAAATTAGAAAAGTGAGAAAATCGTTGCAAGTTAAATAATCCAGTCTACTGAATGAAATTGCACTTTGAAACCAATCATTAAACATTGTTGAATATGGATTTCATTCTTTATAGTCTCCCTATGAGAAGTTTTGTTCCATGCCTAAATTTTGCACATGGATTAGTTTTAAAATAATAAAGCTTCAATCTAGTTATAATGAAACTCAAACTAGTTTTTATTCTTTGTTGTCATATTGAAGGTTTTGCTTTACAAAACATGGGTGATAAGATTTTAGAGGAGCTAACCAAAAATGCTCTTTCAAGGAACACATACTAGAAAAATGGTTGATTCTTTATGGTTCATTATACGTTGGTTTGGAGAATTCTTTTTGTACACATTTTCATAGAAAGATGTAGAGCATTGTAAAGGAATACCTGCAGCTTTGAAAGAATGAGTGGTAGTTTAGGCGGTGATGGGGAGTCAGGAGGGGGAGGAGGTGATTTCATTTGGTAGGGGGCAGAAGATGAGCCCAGTCTTGGATATGAATTGGTTTTGAAGAACCTTCCAGACAGTCTGGTGGAGACCATCCCATAGACAATTGGAAATGGAGGCCTGGTGGGATTCAGATAAATCAAGGCCAGCAGTGCTTTCATTTGGGAGCTGGCCATATAGGGGTAATGGTAGAAGCCATGGGGATGGAAGAAATTAACGGCATAGATATAGAGGGTCAAAGACAGAGCTTTGGAGGCAAAAGGAAGACCTAGTGAAGAGAGAGGGTCAGACACAGTGAAGGGCCAGTCAGAAAGGGAAAAGTAGGAGACACATGTGAGTACAAATGTAGGCAGTTACCTGTGTACAACCGAGACAAAATCCTGTAGGCAGGCAGTGAAAAGAATGCTGTCGGTAATAAAATGTTGGAACAAATTCTGTCTCTGTGACCGGGGGCAAGCCCGCTTCATCTCTGGACCTTAGTTTCCTTTGTAAAATGATAGGGTTGGACTAAATAGTCCTTTGAACTTATGAACCAAACATTTTGGGGTTTTTTTTATGGTAATTTTTATTTTTATTTTTTTGTTTTCAACATTTACTTCCACAAGATTTTGAGTTCCAAATTTTCACACCATCTCACCCTCCCCCCACCCCAAGATGGCATGCATTCTGAATACCCCTTCCCCTAGTCTGCCCTTCCTTCTGTCTCTCCCCCCCTTCTCTTATCCCCTTCCCCTTCAATTTTCCTGTAGGGCAGGATGGATTTCTGTATCCCTTTTCCTGTATTTCTTATTTCCCAGTTGCACATGAAAACATTTTTTTAAACATGTGTTCTTAAAACTTTGGGTTCCAAATTTTCTCCCTTCCTCCCTCCCCACCCACCCTCATTGATAAGGCAAGCAACTAAATATAGGTTATATATATGCAGTTATGCAAAACACTTCCATAATAGACATGCTATGAAAAACTTACTCTGTTTCCCTTAATGAAGCAAACATTTTGAATGAAGATGTTTGGGAATTCTCCTTGAACCTGGCTTTCCCCCTAAAACTTGTTGTTTCTCGATGTGGACAATAGTCTCCCTGTATCTTCCTGTTAGAGCTTACCTGTCTTTGGGCTGGTGATTTTTGAGGCCTCCATAAAGCCTGGGAGCCTTGGAGATGGGGTCTATACTTGCAGCATCTGTTGTGATGGTGAGCCCACTGAGGTTAATTAGTGTGATTGCTTTTTTCATGGCTTTACAGAATTCAGACCAGGAGGGTGGTGGGAAGAAAAAGAAGAAGAAGAAGGACAAGAAACACAAGAAGGACAAGAAGCACAAAAAACACAAAAAACATAAGAAGGAGAAGGCGGCCGCTGCTGCCGCTGCCGCTGCCGCTGTGGCATCTACCACCACATCAGCCCAGGAGGAGCCTGAAGCAGAGACAGAGCCCAAAAAGGTAATGTGGGTGCCGGAGCTGTCAGGCAAGCAAGCCTTCCACTTAGAAAATTACTTATCCCCTCATCCCACCCCATATAGGGCAGGTTGTTCTCCAGATAAGTTGGGGGCTTCTGTTCTTGCATTCACTTAGTGTCATGGGGTCCCATTTTCTTTCAGGGGCACCAGGATGGTGTATAGATGGTGGGGTGGGTAAGGTAATCGATTCTCTGACCCAGAGCCCAGAAAAGCTAGAAGAGGAGTTAGAATTCTTCTCGCCCTGCTCCTTCAGTTAGTAGATGAGGAACCAGTCTAAAGTCCAGAACAGTTAGCCCCCTGAGTCATAGAGGTCACTGGTGGGACCACTAGGTTTCCCAATTCCCAGGCCAGAGCCTCTTTCTGCTGTCATCCTTGGTGGCCCTGGAGCCCTGTGAAGGGCAAAACTTACACTTGGGCCTCGAGGCTCAGCTCAAACAAATAAGAATGAAACTTTCAAGTAAAGCAATAAGCTGGCAACAATTCAGCGGGTAGTGGTGAGAGGAAAACGTGATTGTCACCACAGTCTGCCTCCTAAGAATTTACTCTGGTAGTAATATGTGAAAGAGCTCGGTGTGGAAAGTATAATCTGTTTTCAAAAGACAGTTGGTGAATGCATTGGGCACTGTAGCCAGCATCCAACTTGAATAGTGAGGGGACCTGATACTTTCTATTTGTTTTTTTTTTAAGTGAGGCAGTCGGGGTTAAGTGACTTGCCCAAGGTCACACAGCTAGTACGTGTCAAGTGTTTGGTCTGAGGCCAGATTTGAACTCAGGGCCGGTGCTCTGTCCACTGCGCCACCTAGCTGCCCCTACCTTATGTTTTCTGAAGCCACACTTCAGTTGGTGTTGTCTTGATACTCTTCTCTATTAATAAGACAATGGAAAGATCCTTTTCCCCGTTAGGAAAGCTGAGCCACAGAAAAGTTTTTCTGCCTTCAGTTGGATAGCAAATGCCAGTTATAGAATACACACATTCTCATAGTTACTGTAGTATTCACATTTTTCCTTTGTGATTCAGATCCACCTTCCATTACTGAGATCTGATTCTTCAAGGTGCCTTGAAGTGCATTGCACTCGGCTGTCATCTCTGTGGTTGAGGCAAAGACGAGCATGAATAATTTTTAAGAGGAATAAAATGGCACATATAATTTACTTTGAGATATGGTGTGATTTTTATAGTTCATTACCTCTTTGACACTGTATTCCACTTAGCTTAGGTTGAAATGAAGCTGGATTTGCCCCCTAAAAGGCAGCCTGGGGCAAGGAACTTGGCTTTGGTTGGGAGTTGGGGCCTGAGGCCCAGCCCTGATGTTCCAACCTTTGTCACATGGCCAGGGACAGGGTCCTCTGTCTGATGTGGGAGCCTTCAAGCTTGGGGGGAAGAGCAGGGGATGTGTGGAAAAGTCTTTATAAACCTCTGGACCTGCTAATGTTTCTCCTTGGCACTTGTGAGTGACTAGAAAGATGAAGTATGGATCTTCTCTCTTCAGGAGACTGAGAGTGAAGCTGAGGACAACCTGGATGACCTAGAGAAACACCTTCGGGAAAAGGCGCTGAGGTCGATGAGAAAGGCGCAAGTGTCCCCACAGTCCTAGGTGGGACCGTTTGTTATAATGTACATTTGATTGGGTTTGTACTCAGATTCCATTTCACAATTGCTAAAATGTGTTTGAGCTTTAGGCTATAACATTTGTTGTCATAATTGCTAGGTTGAGGTTCACCATGTAAAAAAAGGGCATGGATTTACATTACAAAAGGTGTCCACAGTGTACTAGTGACATTCATTGACAGCCAACATAACTTCATTTTGAGACATTTTTAAGGGGAAAATTTTTTTTAAAGGGGTTTAAGTACGCCTGACAACCATCTGGTTCCTTTAATTCCTCTCCCAGCCCTGGCCCTACACACAGATTATCTTTTAAGTTCTTGTTCAATTCTTGGCCCCCATTTAAGTTGTGAGGCTTTGACTTTGAAGCTGTCTGAAAGAGAGACCACTGTTCACCAGAAGTCGACACAAGCATTTTTAATGCCACACTCTTTCCTGTTGCTGTCGTCTCTGCTGAGGTGAATCAAGATTAGAACTCTTAGGATGGTCCAGTAAACGAACGCACGCTGTTCGCCAGGACACTGTGGGCTTATACTGATGTAACTAGTTGATTTGGAACACTGGAATTCCATTTTTTCCTGTCTTGTTCCCCCCCCACCCCACCCTCCATTCGCTTGTAAGGACAGTTATGCCCCAGAAAGGTTCCTTCAGTTACATAAAATTCTGTTTGTGAAATGACATCATTGCCCCATTCATAATTCTTGTCTTGTTTGGGTTCTTCCAGTTGGTAGAACTTTCAGAGCTCTTGCCTTTGAAAAGTGGAAGGATCTCAACTTTGGATATTGTCATGTTTTCACCGTTTTATTTTATTTTGGTTTTTTTTTTTTTTTTTGGTTGGTTTTTTTTTTGTCTTTTTTGTTTGTTTTTTAAAATAAAGCTATATAAAGCTTGTGGATTAAACAGAATAAATTTCTAAATTTAAAAGCATGTTTGTCCTTGTCTTATTGAAGTAGGGGTTAGGAAGGACCCTTGGGCCATATGATTTCCACTTCCCCATTAATGGCAATGGGAGCTGTTTATAGAAACACACACTCAAGGATCTCTCGAAACCATTCCCTCATTTCTGTCCCTTTGAGCTCTCTCCAGAGGATAAGGGAGAAAAAACGGGGCCACTCACCTCTGTTTGCTTGGTCAGGACAAAGCTTCCTGCTCAGTTCTTGCTGAACAAAACCTTCCAAATGGGCTTTACCAGTGTACCAGCTGTCTCTTCAAGTTGATGACATGAAAAATAATAGCAGATTACATGGAAGTTTTTCTTTGCAAAGAGAGTGTTCTCAGTTTTTGCCCCACCTTCAGTCAGCAGGATTTCCCATTCCTAAAGGAGTGGATATACCCCCCATGGGCCTCTAGAAGGACCCAAACATACTTTCATTTGGAATGTGAGAGTAAGGAAGAGTCTCGGGAAGTTTTTAGGCCTGAAAGACTGACCACACCCTAGTTACTGTGTGGGTGAGGTTTCGAATAGAATAAGGGGATATCAACCAATCACATGTTGAGTGCCAACTGTGTGCCAGGCATTCTAACAGATAAAACCCCAAGATCCACCCCTTGACCCTTATACTGAGTAAGTCAACAGTTACACCAGTAGGTTGATGAAAGGTAAAATACAAGATGAGCTTGATGGGGAATGGAGGGTGGGGAAGAAATTAGGAAAGGTTCCCAGGTAGTGGATGTTGCTCAAGCAGAAGCAAAGGTAAAGAAGAGGTAAGGTGGGAATGTGGACAGCCCAGGGGCATGTGATGGAGCCGAGAACTCTGGAATGTATTTGGAAAGCTAGATTGGAGCCTGGTGGTGAAGGGCCAAGCTGAACATCAGAGCTCATATTTGCTCCTGTGGCCGATCCTTTTTGAGTCTGTGCTCCCAGTGCCACCCTGGAGGGTCCCTAGAGGTGAGAGGAGTTAGGGTTTCCCCGGTGGGTGTGTTATGTTCCTGTGGCACCCTGGACCCCATGAGCTATGTGAGGTGGGTGCTGCCAGTTTTCTCTTAGATTTCACTCCCCCACCCCTTCTGTAAATGCGCTACAAGCTTATTTGATTAGGTAGAACCCCGTTGTAAGTGTATGGTGTATCTCAAAGGAAGTAGTTCATCTCCCTAATCACAGAGTGTTAGGGTAGGAAGGGATGTCAGGTGGCATGTAGTCCTACTCCCTGGTTTTACGGAAGCTGAAGTCCAGAGAGAAGTGACTTAGGCAAGGCCAGACAGGTTCTAGTGCTCTGGTCTGTCTCTGTTCCATGTTAAAGTAAACCTTGAGTAGGGCAGGACTTTCAGGACTGGAGATTTGGATGCCTGGGGCCTTAGAACCAGAACACCTGAGACTTCCCTCCCTCCCTCCACCTTTGTAAAAGAACCTCGGACACCAAGCTACTCTCTCACAAGGCTTCCTATGACGTCAAGTCAAGCAACTCACAGGAAAGTTTTTTTATAAAATAAAGTGCAATACAAACCTAAAATACAATTACCAACGCTGTCAGCAACTCCTCAAGAATCCATGAAATGTTTATGGCTTTCCCAGCTTTTAGCTTAAAATGTCCTCAAGCTCTGTTCACACAGTGTCCCAGACAGCAGGAGTCACTTGTCCCATGCTGTGTTGAACACCTGCCAGAGCCAAGTCACACCCTGTCCTTTCTGCCTGCTCACTTTCAGTCCGAGGCCTTTGTATTTGGAAAGCCCAGTTCAGCCTGTGCCCATCATCACATTCTAGACTCGTGTCATCTCCCTTGAGGTGCTCTCACTTCATCAGAGCTGCAGAACCCAGCTGGACCAAGACTGGTAGAGAGGTGTCCAACACATGGCCCGAACCAGGTTAAAACAGCATCGGGAAATGGATAATAAGGAAACAAAAAACTTGATCCGAGGTTTTCTAAGTCACCCTGTGCCCTGTAGGGATCCTTACTGATTAGCTGCTCCTATTTCTGTTTGACACCTACACTCCTAGCGTCTAGAATACATCACCCGCTTTTCCCAAATTCTTTGGTGTACAAAACTCTCCAGATTTTTTGTTTGTTTTTAGCACTTCTCTGAGGCTCTAAAGAAGTGTGTGACCTCCTCTTTTTGAATGCCATAGGTGAAGAGTCACTGACCATGGACTTACTCTTCATACTCATGCCCACCAAGTGACAACTTATACCAGCAGGGAAAGAGGTGTGTCATGGCAACATCTGGCCAAAGTGCCATCTTAGCCAAATAAGTCACTAGTTGCTGGACCCCTGACATGAGAACATCTGTTGGAGTGTAAGATCATCAGAGGGTAAATAAAAGTATCTCCAAACGAGGACATAAGTGGTAGAAATCAGGGGATATTGGAACAGAGAAAAGCATCACTTAGAAGGATAGTTCATAGTCATGTTAGAGCTGGAAAGGACTTTAGGGACCAACTAATCCCACCTCATTAGGTTGCTGAGGCAGTGAGTGGGAGAATTAGAACCAGCACCAGAAACACCAAGTCCTCTTCAACAAAGGTGTCAAATGGAAACAGATCCCTGCAGCCGGAGATTGAGTCAGAAAACCACAAATTAACATCTATGCTGTATTTGTATTTATTTTGTTAAATGTTTCCCAGTTACATTTTAATCCAGTTTGGAGACTGCACTTAGTCTTACCCCTGTGGGCCATTGCGAATTGGATACCTCTGCTCTACATGCAGCAACACCACCAAAAAAAAAGCCCTAAACCAACCCTGTGCTGTAACATGCAAACTCCAGAAAAGATCTGAGGTTTTTAATAGAATCCATTATGGCTGAAGATAAAGACAACAGTGTTGACTATTAGCCAGGAAAGCTAATGTGATCTTAGGCCACCTGGGAGTTATGGGTCAGGACCAAACATGATAGTCATACCGTGGTGAGATCTCGTCTGTAGTGCTGTGTGGGGGACAACCGGGATACTGCCAAGATGATTGATAGATGGTAGATAGACACGGATGGATGGATGGATGGATGGATGGATGGATGGATGGATGGATGGACGGACAGAGCTGGAGAACATCCAGAAGGCAACCAGCATCATGCCTAGGGTCAGGGTTGCTGTTTGTACTACATTTTTTGAAGAGGCCAATGACATTAGAGTTTAACGTCTTGACTCCTGCAAGAATTGGATTTAAGTAAGGCAGGATTGCACCTTACCCTCTCTTCCTGAGTCATTGAAGTCCAGCAGCAGGACAAAAGTCAGGATGACTGATGATGGCCTGGGATGCAGCGGGTGACCTTAGCATCTTCGATGCCTGACCAAGTTCTGAGCACCTGCTTCAACCCCGTCGGGGCTGTTGGAACAAACTGTTCTCATCCGCCCATTCCACCGGGGGGCGTCTCCACATGCTTGGAGTAGACATCCCCCTAACTCACCAATGGGTTTGAGGCCTGTCAGTTGCCCTCAACGTGGTTTAGCCCAGGTTTGGCTGGGCTGTGGCCACTGCCCATGCTACAACTTCTTGGAGCAACAGGTGAGAGTTGGCTGACAGGTGGATGAGCAGCCCTCACACCAGAGGTGCTGGTCCTCCCTGAACACCCCATACACCCTACACAGGTAGATACCTGAGTAGATAGATAGACGTAGGTAGGTTGGGGGATAGATAAGATAGAAGAAAGTGGGTGAATGGATAGATAGGATAAGAGATAGTGGATGGATAGAATAGGCATGATAGGGGGAATATATACATGTATATATGTATTGTAATAATATATAATAAAGGTATACTATAATGTATTAATATGCAATACAATAAATAATATATATTAAAACACAAATTGTCATAAGATAATGGCATATAAGGGTCAGTTGAAGCAACTGGGCATGTTTTAATATGGAGAAGAGAATACTGAGGACAGATGGACAAGGTTGCACATTTCAGATGTTTGAAGGTGGATCATGGAAAAGGGCTTAGGTTTCTTGGCCCTAGAGGGCAAGCTGTAAGGAAAAAATCTGGCCGCTGGGTTTCCCTGGTAGGGGGAACTTTTCCAGGGAGAAATTCCCCTCTACCAACAGCAGGTCTGCATCTTCTAGTCTGAGAGAATTGTTTGGGATGCTGAGAGGTTCACTGTCTCGCCCAGAGCCCCGGCCAGTCTGCGTCAGAGACTGGACTGGATCTTCTGCCTTTTGAAACTGGCTTTCTATTCACTGTGCTATGCCTTTCATAAGCCTGAAACGCGTGCGCGCGCACGCGTGCGCACACGCACACACACACACACACACACATATATACATACATATGTGTGAGTGTATAGAGAGATATTCTAGATAGAAATCTCACTTGAAAGTTTGGAAGGTGATGCTGGCTGATCCCGAGATTCTCCAAGAGATGGGACATCGAGGCGGTGCAGAGAGGTAGGCTAGTGCGAACCAATGACCAAAGCTGCCTCCAAAGCCCACTTCTGCTCTAATGACAGCTCCCTGTTGTAGACAAAAGCAGAGCGGGCCTTGGTTTGCCATTTTAGCACAAATACTGTGACTCATACAGCCAAAGAAAGCAAGTCCAGCTATCGCAATTGGTATGGGAGATGAGCCTGTTTCATCTTTACCTCCTGGCCCAAAAAGTAGGGGGAAAGGCTCATCCTTCAGCGTGGGCGATCTTAATGTTGGAATCAGAGGATTTTAAAGCTGAAAGGGGCCTTGATAACAGGAGAAGGATGGAGCTGGTGGAAATCTTAGAAATATCAAGTCCAACCTATTACTTAGCAGTGGGGAAACTGAGGCTGCAAGAAGGAAAAGGGACTGAAGACCACACATCAGACTTGGTGACATAGCCAGGAGCTGAACCAGTCCATCTCTTTGTCCTGCAGAGCGTGGGCTCATTCCAGAGACTTATAGAAAATTATTACCATGTGCTCTCCAGGGATACC